AATCCGACCGGCAGAAGGCCCAGGGGACGGCCAAGATTAACCTGGTGCAAACATATGGAAGGAGTCTGTTAAAGACTGCATTTGTCTTTTGCCGAAGCTCAGACTCTGGCACAGGGTCGGGAACGTTGGAAGCTCGCTCTGACGCGTCTGCCTCCGCGGCCCGAAAGGAGAAGCAGCGATGGAAGATGAAGAAGTTTATGTAAGCTGTACTGACATATTTAAATGTATGTACATTTAATTTACTGAACTGAAGATACGAGGTTCGCTATGGGATTCGAAAATCCGGATAAGTCGATAATCCGGACGGGATCAAACCACAGTTATTAGTCCGGAATTCCGACGCTCTACTATATTTCAATTTCGCTGAACGGCTGACTGAAATTCGACTGTTTGTGCATACTGTGAAGAGCCTAGAAGAGATCAAAATATACGATCGCACCATGGATTTCATAAAAATGATCGCTATTCTAATGGGCTGCAGTAGTCGCAATGGATAACCGTAAATACAGAAAAAACGAGCAAATAGCAGGATGGTAATTTAGAAGAATCAGAGCCTTTATGCCAAAAAGGCAGAAACATTTATAACTGGGATACTCTTAGCATAACGATTCTAAGAGGGTAAGACAAAAACTACCTTTACCCGGTACCCTTGTTAGATGCATAAAATTTTCTGCTACAATAAATAACATTACATCGCAGCCTAATGTTAATCGTCCGATTACTAAGCTTCACCACCAACAAACCGTGCTGTAACATTAAAACCAATTAAGTACCCGCTGCATAATCGTGCCATGAAAATCAAACAGAAATATATTTACCGGCAATTCCTCAATCGTACACATCCTGAATTGGCGAGATAGACCAAATAAGTAGTCTATTACTCGAACAGCATTGAGTCGACGGGCGACAGATCCGCATTTCACGTAACCCAGCAACAGGTCGAAGGCCGTTTGTGACACAGATGGACTATCCTTATATTTCAACAGAAACATCTTAAATTCCTTTGAGGAAAGACACTCTGTTTGTTTAAAAATTGCCTTCTTCAGAAGTTGCCTCAGGTCATCTGCTTCCTCTTCACCCATTCCAAATCGGGTAGCATTAAATTACATTTCATAGGACAAATTACAGTCAATTGCTAAACATTCGCAGGTACAGTTATGTCTGTCATCACATTCTGTTTGATCTAAACTGCTAAACCCAATTACTTTTGCTATTCTTTCTCTGAGGAAATTTGAGCCAGTCATATTTAGCGAAACTCTATGTGTGTGAGGTGGCTGTCTGCTTTCACACAAAAAGCAGAGCGATAACTTCTGTGAATTACTTGAGCCAGGTAGCGTAGGCTGGATGGAGTGGATGAAGTACATGAAATTATGGATAGGATGGACGGAAAAAGAACTTATCTCACGATGGAGTAGATTACCATAGCGGTAGTAAATTTGTACCATAATGTCTTGATATAATATGAATTTATTTATTGATTTTTGTCCAAATCTATCTTGTGCATTAAAGTCTTGACCACCAGGAGAATGCCTTCGATTGAGAAACACCAGCCAGCAATCCACAACCGATCACCGATAAAGAACGGGACAGAAATTTCCCCCCCCCTCCCCAATTGAGGTAAGGTATTCACACTGTGCCAATCCTGACCCTCCAATGAATTGCGCAACAGCAATGTGTGGGCAGACTCCATTTCCCTTCTCCAAACTTCCACTTCATTTTCCTCATTTCATTTTGAATCTATTTCTTCACGATTTTTTTCCGTCTCTTTTTTTGTTATTTTGCTACTGCACCACGCCATTTTTCTATTTTGTTCTCTTTTTCATCATTAATCTTACCTTCCATGCATCAACAAGATGTACCTTTTAAAAAATTGCACCTGTTTCAGTTATATCCTATACGTTGTATAATAAATGACTGATCTATTCTTAACAGCGTGACGTCTAGAAATTATCTATTTTTTGTCCCATGCGGTCACACGAATGTTAATCTTACTTTCGGCACCTAGTCAATGTACAGGCTTGCTTGCCTTTGGCCGCGGCTTGCACTGGTATTCTAGTAACTTAAGGATCGGCCCATTCCCTACGGAGTTATGTCAAGCAAAATTATAAATAATGTCTTCCAAGGATGTGCGTTACACGTAATACCGAACTTGGCGAAATGGGATATCCAAATTGCGACAAACGTTTTGGAAACATCTAACAAATATTTCATCATTTTCATACATTCAGCAATGACGCATGTTTGAAACATCGAAATTTTCATTGAATAGCGTTTCACGAAATGGAACAACAGGTAGTTAATGATTTAGCTCAATCAAAAGTTGAGTTAAGGCAAACTTTTTGTGTTCAACCGTTTCTGCAAAGTTATCAATCGCAACATTTTGCAACGTTAGTTTGCTTCCGTCAGTGCTAAAACGAGTAATTAAGGGAATTTGATCTTACTATGAGTGAAAGTGTGCGACGGAATTTTAATAAAGGTTGCAGCGTCATTCACTCTTGAGTAAATCATTCTTTGGAATAAATTGAAGTTACAACATTTTCAATATTTTGAGAAATGTGTCCACGCAAGTGTGACATGATATGAAAATCTTCGTGGCCTTTCTGCAAGACTAGGTTTAATATTCTCGATTCATCCCCTAAGTTCGACGGATTTCATCATCCAGTGAGTACCCCTGCGTTTGTGTTCATTTTCAATTTTTGGTAGATGAATCAGAAAAATACCCAGCGAAACCGTTCGTTTACAATTTCATAAATCATCGAGTTCCTTTACTGCAGATTTTTGTGCATTCGATGCACTGCATACAGAAGAATGGAGATTCCCGTTGGAAAACATCCAAATAGAACTCGCAGTTTGCTTATCATCAGATATTCTGCCTGATTTTCATTTTTGATGAGGTAATAATTTAGCACTTTTGCTTCTACAAGTGTGAAAAATTTCGAAATTGCTAGCACCATTGAAACATATTTTTTACAATGTTTCCTGGGCATCCGGATTCTTTTTATGAAGAATAAGAAATGCAGTTTGCAATACATCGATGTAACGAATTGAAAGTTGATTCTAAATCTTAAATTTAAAATTCAGTCTCATTGAGATGTTTGAAAAATAGACATTTATTCTAAGTTTGTCTGATATTTACCATTGAGAAATTCTTCCTGTTCCAAAATGAGGTCATCTGAAGCGAAGGAATTCTGTTCACATTGCATTAGCACATTTGCAATTTGCCTTTGGTCCTTGGCTAGAGTTCACATCAGTTACGCCATGAGGGTCAAGTGTAAACTTATTCGTCTTTGTTCATGACGCTGGGTCTTGTCTGGATTAGGACCCCTAAAAATACTTCGGTAAATAAATGTTATTCTTAGCTCCTTCGTCACAAATCCGGGCAGCTCTCCTCTATAGGATCTTCTAATTTTAAATTACAGTAAAGGTACAGAAACAGCGAGAAACTAAAGGCCATCGATTCTCCTCAGAAATTCCGTTTCAGTCGCTT